AAGTAACTTACAATTCTACCCGTGGTATACGCTCAGTATATCACGGCTAAGAACCAATCAGATTGCTTGATTTGACTTGTCCGTTTTATAATATAGTAATACTATACTTCATTTCCTAAGAGGTGCATACAGCAGACAGTAGCTAGCAGTTTTCGAAAGATACGGCCCACTCAAAAATATATTGTTTTATATAAAATTAATTTATATATATATTAGGGCCGGGACTCGATTAAAAAAATTAATCTAATTAATTACAGGCTTTGTAATTAATTAATCGCAATTAATCGCATTTTTAATCACATAGAAATATTTGACCTGAGAACAGTGAGAAGCAATTTTTTTCACATGGATTTTAGTATACCATTGAATAATGACTGAATACATAAGCTTAAGCAACAAAACATTGTTTATTTTTTTCAAGGTGGTACACTGGCCATAAAGTGTAGCAATAGCATATTTAGGAATATAGTACATTTCAGAGATTCAGGTAGCCTATAGGTAGGTAGACCTTCTGTAAACTATAACACTTTGTTTTTTAAGTAAAACACAATACTTTCAAGTACATTCAGAACATTGGAAACCCTGACTATTAGAAAACATCTCTCTGTTGCTTCAGAGGCCATAACAGACTTTGTTGATTTACCAACAGTNGAAGAAAATTTGGCAGGCCACATCACAAAGTGAGTCATCCAGTTCTTATACTGCTATCATCTTAAAACCTCGAACTAAACAACCTAATAAGATACATACGTTGGAGTCCAATACACGGGACGACCAAATAACCGATCTTTCCTAGGCCAGATCACTCATTTATACTGCAGTGCAAGAAGACAACATTGAGGAGCAACATTAGCGTCGCGAGCCTTTGTGTAGATGTCGTCCAATTGTACTACGTTGTATATGTAATTAAGTCGACGTTATAATTATCTATTTGTAGTCTGATATCATTTTGTGACTTTCCTTATGTAAAATTAACGTGGTCCTGATGGGAAACCCTAGATAGAACGCTGTTTTGACAACTGGACGGACACTATTTTTATTTGGGGTACTCACAACCACTTAGATGTCACAACGTAAAGAAGAAACTTGGTGGTGTTAATGACGATTTGGAGATAAGTTGTTAGGTGTGTAGGGACATTACATGATATAAATTATCACATCAAATCGAAGAGTGGTAGTAAACTGACACCGGGTGACTACAATTGCTAGGCTTGACTTTCACGACGGACGGTTTTCATTTGTCAAGTCGTTGCCACATGAACACAGTTTGAGAGCGGCTCCGCAAAAATTGTGTTCCTGCCATAGGAAAGGATCGGAATTGGGCAGTACCTTGTTCCCACCATCACGACTGCCTCTCGTGGTCTTGCAGTGGCGGACCGGCCGTGACACAGTCTATTCCCTCGGTACTTTGTACGGTGTCAAAAAACGCACCGACACAGGAATGAGAAATCAACACTCGGGTCACCACCATGACGAGTTAGACAGTGCTGACTAGTATGTCAGGTTATTGAACAACAATAATCGGTAGACCAATCGATCGATACGAATTGCTTATATTCTTCGAAAAAAAGATGTTTGGTCGACTCCAATTTCCGTGTAGAAATATACTATTAAATATCAATTTTTTTATTCCTCTTATTTACATTGTCCATATTTATTGATATACTGTCATTTTTTTCAACAATAATTATTTGTTCTTATGTCAACTTTCCTCACTAAACATTTTATAGGTATTTCTTTTTATTTAGACGAAGAGTGTAAGACAAAGTAGACCCACATACTCTCTACATAGGTAATCTCGAGGATTACTAACGAAGAGTTTCAAGTGTTCTAACTACGAAAAATTGAAAATTTCTTTATAGAAGAGGCCCCTTTCGTAAGGGCGGCCTGGGAAGGGGATCTCCTACAATCCGGGGGGGGAGAGGGGTGAAATTTAGTTACAAGTGTACCTATCTTTGATTTATTGTAATACGTACAAGTGTTAGAACACAGGTTAGAAAGACATTCTATAGTACCTTAATTCTACCAACGAAAAAAGAAACGAGTCGTATCTTTCTTTCCGGTACTAACCCGACACTAAAAACACAAAATTCCGTCTCCAGTATTAAGCAAACTATGCTCGGGAGGCCTCCTACACTTTTAATAACTTACCGGGAACACTCTCCTTTTTCCAGGGGTGGGGACGGAAATTCAGCTGTGCTACCCGCCGGTAAAAATCGAATGTACGGTCAATGTCCAGTACCGCAGGCGGGGGTCTTACGATAATGAAGAGGCAGCGTTCCGCGAGTATACCGACACGCAGTGATCTATTTGCAGACGGAGTGAGGAGAGAGTGAAGACGTTGAAGGTCGCAAGGGTCGTACGGCTCCGCCGACCTGCGGGAAAGTGGAGAATACTGACAGACGGCGAGTGTAATGACATATCAATTTTGCATACATTTACTGTGTGAGGAATGGCCCAGTCGGATAGCCGGCGCGGCGTCCTCAGGACATCCAACAGTTGAAAGTAATTCGTGATAAACGCAAACCACATATAAAGTTGGCACGTCTCCTGTAACGGACCCTTAATGTGCGTGTGCATGAAGACGATTTCAGGATAATTATAATGTTTGTGGTGAGACGTATTCGATCATTACAACCGGACACTATTCATGACTACCAAAATTTGTTCTTATAAAAAGGTTCAATTTAAAGACTGGAAGCTGTTGAGAGAAAAGGCAAAACGTGGTAAAGTGTGAGACAGAAAGGATAGTGTGTGGCTACTCTTGTTCGACTTAAAAATATTATACTCGAAAATCTCCCCG